ACAACAAGGGCACTCGACAGACGGACGGACGTCAAGTCTGTGTGTGTGTGTGTCTGTCTGTGTGTGGTGTGAGTGTGTGGCTTAGCTTGTTGACAAACGGCACCTTTGAAGCAATCCCGCATTGCTACCATTCGCACTTCTCACAGATTTACTTCCAGCCAAAGAACATAAATGAAAAGAGAGGAAAAAGAACATAAACTGGAAGTAAAAAAAAACGACATCAAGGCGGAAAAAAAGGCCAGCATGAAGGACACAGCAAATAAAAGGAGACGTGGAAAAGGCGACGAACACGGCAAAAGGAGCGGAGCGGCGGCTCGACGCTGCAATCGCCTGGGATGGCCCCGGGCTCGACGGCGCAGCCGCCGCGGCCGCGTCCGTGACGGGGTCCTCGCCGTCTCACTCTCACGGCCTCTCTATCTCGCTCTGCTTCTCACTCTCCCTCTGTATCGCTCTCCCTCGCACGCAGAGGGGCGCCAGTAGTCTGATGCAGAGCGAGAGAGAGAGAGAGAGAGAGCAAGAGAGCGAGCTAGAGAGAGAAAGCAAGAGAGCGAGCGAGAGAGATGGAACGCGATGGAGCGAGAGAGCAGGAGAGAGGGAGAGAGAGAGAGAGAGAAGAAGAAGGAGCGAGAGGGAGAGAGGCAAGCAGCCGGCTGTGGTGTTGTCTCTCGGAGGCAGCTTGGCACTTCCCGAGCACAGCGAGCACTGCGCAAAGGGTGGGGGAGGGCAGGGTGGGAGGGGAAGGAGAACGGAGAGAGGAAGGGAGGGGAGGGGGGGTATGACAGGGCCAGGGCAGGGGAAGGTGGTGGAGGCGAGGGAGGGGGCAGATCGTAAAGGATGGGGAGGGAGGTCTCATTCTTCGCTAGCTTTTCTCGCAACAGCTCGGCTTTCCTCTACGCATTCTTTCCTCCTTTTTTTGCCCTTCCTCTATTCGCTCTCGCCGCTCTGTCCTTACCCCTATTTTCTTTCATCATGTTCGACCCCTCCCGTTCGCACGGCCCCCGCTGTTGTGCTCCCGCCGCCTCTCCCGATTAATTTACATAGCTCTACATTTACATTTTTGCGGTCGATTACTCCCGGATATCTTGTTGTATCCGTTTAGTTTCACCGCCGCGCGCCGCACAGCCCACAACTTGTCGCCCCTTATAAACCCCCCAAAACAGCCCGCCCAACCCCACCACCAGCCCGACCACGCGCGCCCGCACGCACGCACGCACGCACGAGCGTGCTGAAGAGCGAAAGGGAAGGGAAAGGGGGAGGAGGGAGGGACGGAGGACCCGGGGGGGGGGGGGGGGAGGAAGGAGAGAAAAATCGGGGTCATCATCCTCATCCGTCGACCGCCGCGACGTTGTTATACTGCGACCGATTCCATTAGAAACCATCGCCGTCCGTCACGGCACGCGGGTCCGCGGGACGGTCCGGGACGGGAGTGCCGCCGGGGGCCCGGGCGCCGCCGGCGGCAACTGCTGGTCACCACCTCGCCCAGCCCACAAAGTGCCTCGCGGTGGTTGGTGATCCCGGTCCGTCTTCTTCCTCCGCGGAGCTGAGCTGAGGAGGGGCCGGCGGCGCCAGGAAGCCAACAGGAAGCAACGCGCGCGCGCGCGTTCCAAGGACAGACGGGCGCGCTATCAGGATGGCACAGAGTCGCCGCCGCCTCCTTTGCGAGTGCGAGTGAGAGAGACCAAAGAGCCTGATGCCCGGCCGGCGACAACGGTGATGGTGGTGACTGCGTCGTCAGGCCCGTACCCCGTCCCGTCAGGCGCAGGGCAGGTGCGGGGGCCGGGTCAAACTTGTCGTCGCGACCATCACAACCCATTGGCGCGGGGCGGCGTGGGGGGTCAATGGGTTAACGTCATGTCGTGTCAATCGAGAGCTCCACGGGGCAGGTCCAATAAGTGACATGCAACTAGGATTTTGTTTATGATTGTCCACCACCAACTCGTGTATTCATGTGCAACACTCGACTGTTTTCCTCGAATTTTTCTTGTATTCTTGACGTGTTGTTGGGTGTACCAGGTGGCTGAACCCCGCTCGCCTCTGTGGTCTGTGGTTGTGCCTGGTTGTGCTGTACCGCACGCACGGGTGCGGGCGGGTTGCCTACTAGCTCGGCCCGTCAGGCGCCCCGTGGACAGGAGCGAAAGGCAAGCCCGCCCGCACTCGTGCGTGCGGTACAGCATAAAGAAGTTGCGCGGGGTTAATGAGCCACCAGGTGTTTCTGTGTAATTGTTGTTTGAAATTCTTTGTATAGTGTGTCCACGATTTTTTCGCTTACAGATATCTAACCATGCACATCGCCGTCCAGGTCGGCCAAGGAGCAGTGTTCGACACTCGATCCCTGCCACAACGACGATGTCCTGGGGGACGGGTGGGGAGGGGGGAGTGTTCGAGTCAGTCGCAGATAAGTTTGTTCCTTGGCCAGGCAAACATATCGCCGTGTAAGTGCGCACTGGCGCCTCCGCCTTGCTCTTCCTGTCTCTGGCCGGGCGCGCCTCCATGCGTCAGAGAGGTGGCGGCGGCGGTCGTGCTGGCGATGGTGGCGGCGGGGGCCCGCAACGCGGTGGTAACCACCATCCATCATAGCCATTCACGTCAGCCTCTTCCCAGGGCGTGGCGGGGCGTGGCGGGGCGTGGCGGGGCGTGGCGGGGCGTGGCGGGGCGTGGCGGGGCGTGGAGGGGCGTGGC